GTCTTCAGAGAGTCACTGCCAGTGCGCCGCAGTAGGAATCTCTTCCTTCTTCTCTACCACATTACGCCAAAACAGGACTGCTGGCACCGAGCCAGAGGATTCCGATTGGACGCAGGAACAGCCTGTTGCAGTTCCCTTGTGTCCGCGGGAGATCTGAATCCACACAGATTGGATGAGTTCATTTAACATTCTACATTACAGCTCGAGAATTCAACTGTTACCTCAACCCCAGTTGATATCAATTTACTTCCTATGAGTGATGTACTTGCCTTTGAGTATCTAGTGTAGAAGCCGTAATTAAAGCTCATTAACGAAATGGTATAAATGAATGGTATACTGAATGAATGTCTCTCTTGGTTTGTAACTCTTCGTTATTGAATATATACCTTTTGTATTCTGCTAACCCTCACTCTTAAGATTTGTTATATTTATATGCACATTTTATGTTGTGTATTAGTATCCGTGTGTGTGCATTGCTGAGTTATCCCGCAAGGTTGGTTTTCTAGTAGCCATCATAGAATCATTTTCTGCCCAATCCCTGTGGGCATCTCTAATCCATCCTGCTGGAGAGCAGGCACAGTTTTCCACAATAATGCTGAGTTACTGGGAGACAGGCCAGTTCGGCCCAAATCAGTGCCCAGTATCTCCTGTTAATACCATAGTGGGAACCCATGACTGAGATTCTACAAGGATCCCTCTGTGTAAGGATCCTGTAAGGACTCTGAAGAGGAGATAGGGATCCTGTGCAGACGAAGGAGTAGGAGGGAGGCACTGCAACAAACAATCCGAAACAAGTAGCGAGTTCGTAATCAAAGGAAGAAAGGAAGGTTGAAAACCAGGTCAAATCCAGGTGGCAAACAATCCAAGTCGTGAGGCAATATTGTGGTCGAAAGGAGGAAGGTAGGTAGAAAGCCGGTAAAGACACAGGTGGCAAACAATCCAAGTAGCAAGGCGAAATCCATAGACTGAAGGCTAAAAGGGTAATCGATAATCCAGGTAGTCAAAGGGTATAGAAAACACTAGGTAGAGCTCTCAAGGAGTTTACTCAATACCGAGCAGCAATACGCGGGTTGGAGAGACTTAAATAGTGCAGCTTGCCACACGGTAGGGCGTCTGATGTTGAGTTACCACGTGCAGCGGCGTTTGTAATTATCGCACTGCTGCTGGTACTGATTAGTTCTCTTGGGGGCTGGTCTGGGCAGGTTGGTGGTCGTGACAAAATATGGGGGCTTTTGACCAGCTTCCTCTTCACTTGAAGAGGGTGTGAATAAAGTGAGACACACCAGAGGAGATCAGGATGGCCTCTCGCCAGGCCAGGAAGGACATGTTGAATCACCTGAGGAAGGAGCAGATCATGGATTACATTGAGATCAAGTTCAATGAGTCAAATATGAAACTGGCTGTGAGACTGTTGGAGTCCTTGGGTTGTTTTGTACTTGGGAAACCGGAAGACAAACCAGCTTGCTGAGATATTAACTTAAAATGCTTCTTTAGTTTATTTTCAAAGCTTTGTTTGCAATATATGATTCACATTTTAGGTATGTTAAAAGTGTATACATGTGTTCCAGATGCCCAGAGCAAGCGCATGCTTTCCAGCAGGAACAGAAGCCACAGGTTCCTCTGGAGGCTGAAGCAGATGAAGATGAAGGGAAACCTAAAAAGCTAATCATCAGGAATATGACTACTTTCTGTACCTTCAAGTTCTTGAGCATTCCTAGCTGAACACGGGTGTTTACACTTGAGCCATTCACTGATGGAATTGGAATTCATTCAGTTTTCTTTTCAATTCTGATGAACACACACAGCCAGCAAAGGAAAAGCGATTAAACCTTCTTCAGGTGTGTGGGAAAGAGAGGACAATAACAGGAGAACAGTGGTCAGAGCAGGTGAGAAAGAGTGTCCTGGGGAAAAGGTGTGAAAAGATGTAATTCGTAAATAAATGTAGAGGCTCCAAAAAGAAATAAGTCTATCACTGAGAGATGAGGAAAGATGAGATCCAATGTCAAGGGTGAACTTGGGTCCTGATACATTGCCTGAAATTCCAAGGGTGCAGCCTAAGAGGTTAGAGTAATGATTATAACTCATCTGTTCAAGATTACATTGACACTTCTTCTAGATAAATACATGTACGCTTAACAGACCAGCTTCAAGGAGCTAATTATTGTCAGTGTATGTAATTATGATGCATGTAATTATCATTCATACAGCATTGTCACAAACAATGATAACACCTAGTTTAATAATTATACACCTTGAATATGCAAGAATCAAGATGCCTGCTTAATGCTTTCATTTTCAGTATGATCACCACAATCATGAATCAAGAATGCACAATTAAGTGAAGTGACAAAGATGAATGCAACAGCTGTCTTTAATCTTTAATTGCAAAAACAATACCAATAAAATGGCTCTAACAAACACAAAGTGCATACACAAGGAACGGTCAATTTTGTATGAACAATGCTGTTTCAGAAGGTTTTCTATTAAAAGATATATTTTCTTCAGATGCAATCTTGTTATTAAGAACACTTATTACGAATAATTATTAAGTAGATATTGGGTGCTTTTTTACTTTATCTATGTTAACATAGCCAGAACTAAATCAGATAGATAGTTCAACTCAGATTTACAAGCCTTTACTTCTGTATTGCAGCATTTTCAACTGTATTGTCTAAAAAATCTAGAGCAAAGCATAAAACCAAACAGGGGGATCAGACAGCAGTGACCCCTTTATTACTTTTGCACTTCTTTGTTCTAATAGTTATTTATTGCTTTGAATTATCTTGTGGACAAGTATCGAAGCTGGGAAGTCCATGACTATGATTCCCCAACGAATTGTTTGGTCTCCAAATCCATTTAAGTAGTAGTAAAGCTCAGGATTGACTCTATCAGCAACAGCATTAGGGTATGCCCCACCACTTGACCCTGAAGCAAAGGTCAGAAAGATCTGTGAGCAACTGCCATACCTTGCCTTTTCTAGGTGGTCCTTCACTCCTGACCACTTCTGTGGGGTGTGAAAAATTGTTGGAACATGGTAATCATCTGCAATATCTAATGACCAATAGTTAATGCCAACAGAAGCACAGGGATAGTTTTCTATAATAACTATCTTTCCACGTGCTTCACCAAGGGTTGGGATTTGGTTTTTCACCCAGAAATTTGATTGGCCATATGCCTCAATTTTGTTTTTCAGAGTTTTGTCAAAAGGTTGAGTGCAGCCTGTTTCATCGTATTCTTTTTTTATGCGCATGAGAATCGCTTCTCCTGTGTTTTCTTTCAGGAACGCAATGGTGTCTCGAAAAACATCCCCCAGAATTGCTTGCTGATAAACTACATCATGGTGGATGGTGAGATTGTTTTCAATATGTCGGCATCGAATGTCAACGAATCGTATGCCAGCCTTATATTGCTGAGAGAGAGGCCATCTCTGACATTCAACCAAGGCGCCTCCATAGAAAGCCATGGTGTTATGTGTCCCAGGAATTGAGAGCTCAGCCACAGACTTGCTGTCAGAGATGTCAGCCATCCAATTGGGCCACAGGGCATCGGGAGTACTATCCCAATCACACACGGGTGTTCCCTGTTCATTTCCCATCTTTACAAGCTCAATAGGTGCATGAACTGAAAGTGGAAAAAAAACATGGACATAATTATACACCTGAAGAAGCCTTCAAGCCAAAACAGTTTTCTCTCTTCTCTTTTCAGAATGGAATCAACTTATTACTTGTTCCTTTGCATAATTATACAATTACCAAATTGTTGTTGTTTTTTAGTTAATCATGGCTGACCTGATTGGTAGACAGAAAGAAGTATCTTCTTCTCCTCAGAAAGACGTCTCAAATTTCTGGAACTGTAGGAATTGGATCTCACTCACAGGGCTTAACCTGCAATGGATGAGAGAGTTAGTGCCTCACATGCTTCAGCTGCAGTGGATGAGAGAGTTATGGCCAGACCTACTGATAGTCTATGCATGTAGGTAGGTCCCCTTTTCAGGCGATAAAGGCCAATGGGGAATGGAGGGTCAGGGCATTTTTCTCAACCATCCGACACTGGAGTTGAAGATGATGAGGTCAGCATCACACTCTGGCCAGCCTATTGCCCCAGGAAGGATTAACCCCCCAGTACTCATTTAGAAAGCAGGGAGCCGTCTGGAAGGAATTAGAGCAAGCTACATTGCTTACCCCTACCTGGGATTGAACCCGCCCGTGCTGTCTGAACTACCACAGCTCCAGACTAAGTATGTAAGCACATTAAAAACGAGGCTAGAAGTAACTTGAATGACTTTCAAAAAAATGACTTGCACTCATGTACTGTGAGTTGCATTGGATCTGACACAACTGAACTAACCTAAACTGCTCTGAACTAATACAAAACAGTTTTCTTTAAGAAAAACCTCCAGTGTTTCTCAGTAAATTTCTGTAAGTTTTCACAACAGAGTGATGCATTGATGGTTCCATGGTAGAACATGTATCACCACTGAAACGCAGGGCAATCAGTAACATCCTATACAGTTAACACATGGTCTGTTGTTGAGATACACCACCTTTTATTCATTTGGAGTTAACTAAAGATTATCAAATGCAATGGGTTGCATTATACTAAGCTAAGTGCATGACATTTTTAATTGAAAATGTCTCCAACTACAATTGTTAGGAACAATTGTATGCAAAAAAGTTTTGAAAAGTGCCCTCTTGCCACAACAGCAAGGGTTTATGCTGCTTACTGGGCTGGACAAATATGTATTTGATTAAGCCTGCTGTGTACAAGTGCAGTGCAGTGTAGGGGATGAAATGTCATTTATGGGAGAAAAAAAGTCCTTCATATGTTCTATCCAGGCTGGGTGGCAACCTATATTAATTTAGCCACCAGTTTTAGATTTAGTCATAGTCTTAGTCAGGTTGCCTAAAACATCTATTATTCACAGCTACTTTCTATTCACCTACTTTTAATTTAGTCAAGTTGACTAAATATGGAATATAATTAGTCTTACCTTGGTAAGTAATTAGTAATTTCTATTTAGTAAAACATAGTAATTAGTCTTTTGCTCTGATTTTTACTTTAAAATAATAGAAGGCTATTAAGTATACTATAAAGGCAGAGCAGTGGCTCTGGATCTGTTCGTGTGGCTGAAAGGTTGCTGGTTCAAATCTTGCGGTCAGCAGAGAAACCTTACTCTGCTAGACCCCTGAGCAAGGCCCTTAACCCCAACTGCTCCAGCGGTGCTGTACAATGGCTGACCCTGTGCTCTGCCCCCAAGCTTCTCTCCCTGTCTGTGTGTCTCATGGAGAGCAAGCTGGGGTATGCAAAAACAATTCCTAAACTTCCTGCAAAAAAGTCTATGTGGCCAATAAAGTGATCTTATCTAATAGCATAAGGTCTAGCAATGTAACTTTAAATGTGTAAAACAGATTGTGTCATGAATAATTACACAATCCTGAACATTAATGATCTTATTATTATCTAATTTTATATTTAGCCCCTCCTCCCAAACATTAACTGGTTTTCTTTACTCACTATTGCAGTATTCACGTTTGTTAAAACAATTATAAGATATTCATATAAAATTGATGTGTCAATATAATGTACATATTATTAATCAACATACCATTGATATATCACTCTTGCTTGGATTAGCTAATCTGGAAACCACCAGCATTGCTGTTTCCATTATCTACAATCTTTTCAATTAAACAGCAAGTGTTTAATTTTCCATTGGATTCATAAAGACAGCAACTGTTCATGTTAGAACAAGCATGTCAAAACATTTTGCTAAATAACTACAGCAAGTGACCAAATTAAAGAATTTACTGCAGAAAATGTTTATGAAGGGGGTGGAATACTATTGTATACCTTATTTGTTTTTATTTTAAGCTACCACAACCAACTATATAAATATTTATATTTATACAATTAATATTAATGATGTTCAGAATCTTTATCATACTTTTGTTTTTTCTTTTTTCAGCTACCCACACTTTCCCTTAGTTATATTATTCTATATTAATAAGCTATAATAAATACATTTAAAGATATAGTGCAAAAGATTAAATTAAGATACTGTTTTACTAACATCTGACTCACCACAGGTGCCCCCCTTTGATGGACTCTCTGGGCAACACAGCACACGTATAGCTAGCTGAGGCAATAAGTTTTGACACACATTTGGAATGGCTGCATCTCTTCATAGCTGGCATTTAATTGAACTGCATAACTGTGATATTTCTAATTAGAATCCAAGTTACCTGGAGTCTGCTTACTTTAAAAAAACTATTAATAGTTTAATTCATAACTCAAAAGAGAACAAAAACACAAAAAAGGCTATACCTTCAAGGAACCGACTTTGAGATTTCTGGTCCCCACAGCAGGCATAGTGATTATATATTGACTACAGCTGGAACTAAACATTGCATAGGATTCAACATCATAGTGTTAGACTTCCAAAGGGTCTTTGATCACTTATGGATTATGGAGTTGCTATGTTTTCTCTGGCTTCTACAACTCTTGTACTGAGGTAGGTTGTTGTATGTAGCTCATAGACATTTTAGTCTGTGATTATTTATCTCAGTATCATTTTAGACACACCATCAACAGTAGACAAGCTGACAGTCCTTTGTGTAAGCCTCACGACCACTATTTTCCTCACCAAGCTAAAACCATGCCTTTATTTTGGGAATCGTTATTATCATTTTATTAAAAGTGAAGCCAGTTTTAAGAACCATATAAGCTACAGTACTTGTGATTTTCCCTTCAAAATGGGTTGTAATACTTTCCCATAGACACCTGCTATTGGCTAAACATGATGTTTTACACAGACTCCTCCTGTCAAAGGACTGTTTTAGCCCATTATCTCCAAATGTGGTACAGTAGGTGATTTTAAATAAACTGATGTTTAGATGTAGATGTTTTATTAACAGCCGGACCCTGAGATGCATAATTTATAATTATAATAATTGCTTACACTTATATAGCGCTTTTCTGGACACTCCACTCAAAGCGCTTTACAGGTAACTCCCCTCCACCACCACCAATGTGCAGCATCCACCTGGATGATGCGACGGCTGCCATAGTGCGCCAGAACGCTCACCACACATCAGCTATCAGTGGGGAGGAGAGCAGAGTAATGTAGCCAATTC